AAATATGGCTGCCGTCTGTCACAAAAGTAAAACATATATGCGTTATAAAACTTGGGCCAAAGTAAAATTGTTTAGTGTAAGGCTAGTTTGCCTTCCACCAAAATGTCGCTCTTTTCGCGCCGGAAAACACCTGACCAACTAGATGGGCATGGTGTGACCACACCCAAACTAGAATACGATACGGGACTGGATAGCCAGTACTTATAAATGTATACTATACATATATAGGAAAATTTATGCATTTAAAATCAGGCGGCTTTGCCGCAGATAAAAATAAATAGAGTCAGTTTTGAATTTAAATTGAAGAGATTATTTGTTTTGGTTCAGGTTTTAGCTACACTTAATGGTAGTGGATTGCGATCCGCTACACGCGTACTGGTTGAAAGTTCGGTGACCTAATTTACGCTTCCTCTAAGCGCAAGATACGGCAGCCCGCTGCACTTGGTAGCACTTGTAGTCAATCTACACCTGAGCTGTTTAGACTGATCCTCAGTGAGGATGAAACAATATTCCTCTTTGCCCCAGGGCATGCAGGATGGGCTTAACAAGCTGATGTCCTTGCTAGACCCTAAGGGTGTGCTGCAACTTACTGCACATGGCCTCGAGGCAATCGGTGCGCGTCTAGAGACGCTTTCAAATTACGAAAAAGCGATGCTAGAGTATCTGCAGCAGAAAATGTCTGCATCATTTGCGTCTATGACGCCACCGATGACTTCCCCCCAACCTAAGCCGCTCATGGTGCGCGTTACGGTCTTTGAGGGGAGGAATGGAATAAATCTCCTGCTCTGGGTGAGATAGTTCGAAATGTCCATCGCATCCGCCATGATACAGACCGAGCAACAGCGCGTGATGCTAGCAAACTCAAAGCTCGGTGGTCGAGCGCAAGAATGGGCGCTGACGTGCGGTTTCTCGGTCGAAGCTGCGTTTCACTCCTGTGCAAGGCTGAAGTTGCAGCTCTCACGAGTATTCTCGCCGCCTAATCAGGCATATCATGTGCGATCGCGTTTCTTCGCAGCACGACAGGGCAACAAGGAATTGGTGGACTTCGTCCAAGAGATGCGTACTCTCATTGCCGGGATGGCAGCAGATCCCTATCCGGAGGCGGTCACAGTAGATGTTTTTATGGAAGGCCTCCGCACTGGCATGGCCAGAATGGAAGTCTTCCATGTGCATCCGTCTTCGTTTGAAGAGGCGGTGAATGTGGCTTTTGATGCCGAAATCAATTTCAAGTCGGCACGACTTGGTTGGAATGCATACTCCAACAGCTCGTCGAGCGGGTCTGTGCCCATGGGTCTCAGCTATGCTGAGGGAGCAGAGCTCCGAGCTGCCGGGCAGCATACAATTATACGACGGTGTTTTGTGTGTGGAGACACCAGTCACCTTCGGAAAGGTCGCCTCGTGCGCAAGGCGCGTCAAGGTTCTTCGAACCATCGCCCCAACGCCTACCAGTCTGGTTCGTCGCGGGATAACGAAACCACTCAGTAGGCGCGGGGCGCCCTACTGGGGAAGAACTGAAATCTGTTGAGCCTCAGAGAGGCATAGGTCAACGGGGCCCAGCCTCGAAGAGCTCCGTGCTCTTAAACACGGAATGTGTGTGCAAGCCGGGCTTGCTGGTCGTGGAGGCAAAGGGCTTACCTCTGCTAGGAGACAAAAGCGTTTTTGGTGAGAGCACTGGATCGAGACGGTCAACATGCTGGACATTGGAATGTCCGAGTTGGTAGACGCCAACGGTGTATCGGACAGAAGTCCCGAGCGTGGCTCGCGGGCTGATCGTGGAG